AGATAAACACAAAGTCAGTCTAAGATGTGAGATCTCCCTCTCACCAACAGACTGACACAATTCATTCACAAAGCACACACACTTGACTGAGATGTCAGAGAGCAGGCGTGGAACTATAAACACACTGTGAATCCAAACATTCCTGCAGAAGGAAAATAGCACAGAGAAAGAGGTAACGTGAAACTTTAAGGTTGTGAACGATGGTGCTGTTCAAAAGGATTATGACAGCAGCTGCAAAGAGACAACCTCAAAATTATTACAAGGACCCGAACGAGGTTCAAAGTGGTCCTTTCCCCAGAGCAGAGTGGATGTGTGGAACTGCCAGCTTGTGGGTTGAACAATGATTCACTGGAACCTGAAGCAGGGGTTGAACATGTTTCATTTTGAGTCAGACATCACAACGCCCGCAGAGGAAATCTGCAATTATATCAAAGTTGGGGTATGATTTTTTGAAGCAAAGCTGAAAAAAGTTTGATCAAAGAGCCCAGAAAAGAACAAACTAATTTACATGCTTGAGGCTCATTGCAATGGGGATGATCACAGGATACACATATTTCCTTCTCCTGTAAATTATTCTCAGACACTCATCAACTGGAGACATTCAATTAGGAAAAGAAAAAGCCCTAATTTTATTTTAACCTCTTTCTATCCCAGGAGTAGTAAAAGCAACTCATCCTCATTGCTTCACCAATCAGCAGACTCAGCACCGACTGGTGTTTTAATATGCAAATTTCCTGGTTAATTCTTTTAGAACATTACAGCACAAAAGGTGACCATTCAGCCCATTATACATAGGCAGCTGTTTTGAAAAAACTAACCACTCTCACACACTTCTTACTGTCATGCAGTCTTTTCTTTTTATAAACATTTTCTAATTTCCATTTTAAAGACACTAATGATTCTACCTTTATCCTTCTGTCAGGTACTGCAAAACAGATCATAACATCTCACTGTGTGTGAGATAAATTCTTTGCCTCTAGTACTTTTGCTAATTATGTTGAATTAAGTCACCTCGCAATCAACCTTCTGGTCAATGGAAATCGTTTCTCACTATCAAAATGCCCTTGTAATTTTGAACAGCTCTGGTAAATCTTTCCTTGACCTTCCCACCTTTAAAAAGAACGACCCCAGCTATTCCAGTTTCCCCTGCACCACTGCAAATTCCCCAGACCTGCTATCAGTCTAAGTGAAACTTCATTGCACCAACTCAAAAGTTATTCACATTCCTCCTAAATTGTGGTGACAAGAATAAGACCGCAATACAACATAAAAGAAGGCCATTCAGCTCATTGTACCTGAGGCATCTCTCAGGGCTATCCAACTTTTGTCCAAAGTGCCCTCTATTTCTTCACAAAGCTTAGAGTACGTGTCCAACTTTATTTTGAAAGTTACCATTGAGTCAGCTTCCAACCTTTCAGGCAATGTTCCCCAGATCGCAACAACATATTTTCACACAAGTTGTTTCCTTGTATCATCTCAGGTTATTTTGCTAATCACCTTAAATCAGAGAATCCCTACAGTGTGGAAGCAGGCCATTCGGCCTATCAATTCCACACCGACCCTCCGAAGAGTATTTCACCCAGACCCACCCCCTACCCTATCCCTGTAACCCCTGCATTTTCCATGGCCAATCCTGCACATCTTTGGACTGTGAGAGGAAACTGGAGCATCCAGAGGAAACCCACATAGACAGTCACCCGAGGGTAGAATTAAACCCGGGTCCCTGGCGCCGTGAGGCAGCAGTACTAACCACTGAGCCACTGCGCCTGCATCCCGATGACTGATTCTACATCTGTAGAGGGACTGTTCCTAATTTTGAATGTCACTGATAAATCCCATCTTTCTCCACTCTGAGAAGAGGTACTTGAGTTTCTTGACAGGATCAGGCTGCAGGCTCCAGCAAGAGGAATGTTTGGGTCGGGGATGTCGATGGAGGGGAGCACTTATGGCAGGAGTAATCAAGACAGGGTGTGCATGTGGAGGGATGGTGGTGAAGGGGGCAATACTGGAGAATGGGCAAATAGCGATGGAGAGGGGCGACGGGCACAAGGCACCCCAACAAGAGGCCACAATGCTACCAGATTCCTGAGGGCAACTGGCATCACTGATGGGCCACTCAAGTGCCCTAACTGGTCAACAAGTGCCTGACTCCACCATCACCATGCGTAAAATGTCCCTGGGCATTGGCAGAGCAGGTAGGAGACAGTGGCACTGCGCTGGACCCCGAATTTATGACTTACTGCTCACCATTCCATCCCTCAAAAGAATTTGGTATGAAATTCTGCCTGTCACCTGGGCATCTTTTAAAAAAAATCCTCCTTAATTTGTCTATAGATAGATAATTAATATTTTACTACATCGAGACTAAATGTCTTCCCTTGGTAGAGTTAAGGGTTTCTGGTTGTTTGTCTGACATAAACAAGAATAAAATGTGCTAATCTCATCTTAAGTAAGGGTAAGACAAAAGCAAGGCTCCACATTCTAGTTAGTTATCATCTGCCAGAATCTCAAGCCCATCCTCCACTGTGTGGGAGGGCTGCTTTCTCATTAGAGAGAGGCAAACGGTGGTGCTTTAACTTGAGGGTCATCGTGCTTCAGGTGAGGGGAGAGGTACAGAAGGAAAGTCCTTCAGAAAGCGATCAGTTAGCTCAGTTGGCTAGAGGGCTGGTTTGTGATGCAGAGTGACACCAATAGGGTAGGTTCAATTCCTGCATTTGCTGAAGTTGCCATGAAGAATTCTCCTCCTCAACTTCTCCCATTGCCTGAAGCATGGAGACCCTCAGATTAAATACTACCAGTTTCCCCTCTCTCTCTCTTTCTAATGAGAGAGCAGCCCTACAGTCCACCAGGACTCTGGTGACTGTAGGTTTACAGTGTGAGGAAATCCTAGACGCTCCTGGCAGTTTGGATGACCATATGCAGGAGGTACCTCCAGCTGGAGCTACTCAAGCTCTGGGTTTTGGAGTTTGGCCAGCAGCTGAGAGCACTATGATGCATTCATGAGGCTGAAAGGTTCATTTCAGGACATGGTCACCCTGTAAGTGCAAGGAAGTGCAGGCAGAGAGGAAATGAGTGATCAATAAAGAGAAGCGTACCAGGAAGGTAGTGAAGGAATTTTCTGAGCGCTACTCTCTCTCAAAATGTTTTTCTTACCTTGGAGAAAGGTAGAATAATGGTTCTCATGTGCAGGCCAGGCAGAGTCAAGGCCATTGCACCGTGGGTTGGAGGGGGAGGGAAGGAAGAAGCATGGAAGGGTAAGAGTTGTAGGGGGATTGTTAGTGAGGAGAATAGATATATATTTCTGCAGCTGTAGGCATAACTGCAGGATGCTCTGTTTCCTTCAGGGTCAAGAATGTGAGTGAATGGCTACACAGCATTCTGAAAGGGGGATGGTGAACAGTCAGAGGTCACGGTCCATGTCGGGACCAAAGACATGGGACAAAAGAGACATAAGGTAACAGGCATTAGGGAGTTAGGTAGTAAATTGTAAAGCAGGACTTTAAAGGTGGTAATATCCAGGCTACTCCTGGAGGCATTTGTGGCGGTGAGTATAGGAATGGAAGTATAAAGCATATGTAAGCGTGGCTGAAGGGATGGTGCAGGAGGGAGGAGTTTAGATTCCTGAGGCATGGGGGCCATTTCTGGTAGGGAGGGAAACTGTACATGTTGGACAGGTTACACCTGAACAGGAATGGGAACAAGTTACTCACAGGAGGTTTGCTAATGTTACAGGAATGGATTTAACCCAGATAGGCCGGGGAATGGGATCCTGGTTAGCAGTTAAGAGGGGAGTGAATATGAGGTGGAATTAGAAGTTAAAATGTTAAAAATGAGTCTGGAAGATGGAGGAAACATGGGCTAGGTAAGAAAGAAGTGAGGCTGGCAAGGTTAAATAGAAGATGTTTTAACATGAGGATCCTAAGGAATAAGACAGAGGAGCTGGGGGAACAGAAAGGCACATGGGAGTAAGATATCATAACCATGACCAATACTTGACTGAAAAATTGGTAGCTTAACATTCCTGGTATTTGGACAAGATAGAGAGAGGGATAGAGTGGAAAGAGGGGTGCAATATTGATCAAAGAATCAATTATAACAGAGAGTAGGGACAATTTCTTGGAAGGATCAACAATGAGGCCATATGGGTAGAAGTTAAAAAACATAGAGGAACAAACATGTTGTTGGGTGTGTACTCTAGGCTCCCAAACAGTCAAGGAGGAGTCCAGGAACAATGTGTAATCAAATTTCAAAGAAGTGTAAGAATAAAAAGGCAGTAATAGTAAGAGATGTCAACTACCAAATAATAACTGGAATAGTTTTCAGTGTACAAAGTAAGGAGAGCTCAAACATCTGAAATGGCATCAAGGAGAACTTTTTTAATGGTACAATGAAAGCCCAACAAGACAGGAGGCAGTTCTCCACTTCCTATTCGGAAAAGAGCCCAAGTCAGCTTGAACTCATATCTGTCAGGGAGCATTTTAGTGATAGTGGCCATAACTCAGTTAGATTTAGAATGGTTACGGAAAATGAAAGTATGAGCTGAGAAGAAACCTTCTAAACTGGGGAAAAGGTGAAAAAAAGGCCAAAGATCTCACTGTTCCTGCACACTGCTTAAAATTGTGCCATTTATACCACTCAGTATAGCTATAGGATTTTCAACTCAAGGATTGAGCTGTTGACTGATGTCAATCTATTAAATAACTGTGTAAATTTAAGGGAGGAACAATTAATTTAACTTTTTTGAAAAGAGGGTCTCGTGGACCAGAAGGTTCAAATCCCAGCTACCCCAGAGGTACGTTATAACATGTCTGTATGGCTTCATTAAATATAATTAGTGATGCACTAAGTTGTTGTTGGGGAGGGGTGTGGTTTGAGCTGTATGGCTGTTTAGTCAATAAATTCAATCTAAAGGAAAAGGTGTCTTGAGTTCTTGAGATCCAATTCAGGGATCTCAACTTGCCAAGTATAAAAAAATGCAAGTGAAGAAGCAGATCACTCACATGCCACATAAAGTGATGCATTCTTGCTTACGACGTATCCCAGGTGGTTGCGTGCCACACACATGTATATACCCTCATCAGATTTCCCTTTGCGTCCCTGGTTTAACTGATAGAAGAAGAGGGAGCCGTGTGGCAGGAGAGTACGCTGGGACTGAGGGTCATCCTTGCTGGTCTCCACCCGTTCACCGTTCCTGTACCATTCGATGACCGGTGGGGGCTTTCCCTCTGCCCGACAGTTCAAGGTAGCAGGCTCTCCCTTGCAGACAGCCAGGTCAGTCGGATGTTCAATTATCAGAGGGGGGGATTCATCAAGTCGGAGTCTGGAACCTAAGGAGTAAATTTCCATTATTAGAATATTTGAAGTATAACTGCCTCAAAACTGGATTAGTTCATTCATTGAGTCTTAAAATTGCAAAAGACTGTTGATACCAGGTTTGGTAACATAGTGGTAACCGGATTGATAGAAATATGAGGAAAATGTGTTGAATCCCTCTTCCGTTGGGCAGAAGATACAAAAGCTTAAAACATACATATTAACAAATTCAAGAACAGCTTCTTCCCAGCTGTTAGACTTTGGAATGGACCTCTCCACTTTTAAATTTAATGTCGATCTCACTCTTTGTGCACCTTCTCTGTAGTCGTAACATTGTATTCTTCACTCTGTTCTATTACCCTAATGCACTTTGGCATGATCTGCCTGTACTGCACGCAAAACAAAACTTTTCACTGTACCTAGGTACATGTGACAATAATAAATCAAATCAAAAAGATTGAGAAATTAATTCAAATTCAATTTCTAAAAATACCAGTAAAATGGCCCTGAAGCTGTCAGGAAGACTCAATTCGTTTGTTACTGCTCTTAGATAGAAACATAGAAGATAGGTGCAGGAGGAGGCCATTCAGCCCTTCGAGCTTGCTCTGCCATTCTTCACAATCATGGCTTATCGTCCAACTCCATAGCCTAATCCTGCTTTCTCCCCATGACCTTCAATCCCATTCACCACAAGTGCTATATCTAGTCGCCTCTTGAATACATTCAATGTTTTGGCATCAACTGCTTTCTGTGGTAATGAATTCCACAGGCTCACCACTCTTTGGTTGAAGAAATGTCTCCTTACCTCCATCCTAAATCGTCTACCCCGAATCCTCATACTGTGACCCCTGGTTCTGGACACACCCACCATAGAACAAAACTTCACTTATTATAATTCTCGTGTTAGTGGGTCAGTACCATGAATTCAATCTATTTGAAAATCTCAGAGACTTACTTAACAGTGCAGATTGCAAATTGCAGTTACAGGTAACTGTGTAGATGTTGTTAATCAACTTGTTCAGATATGTTATGACACACCTCAGGTGGGACTTGAACCTGGATCTTCTTGCTCAGAGGTAGAGGGCCACTGCATTGGAGCGGGCACAAAGGAGATTCACCAGGACGTTGCCTGGAATAGAGTATTTCAGCTTTGAAGAGAGACTAGATAAGCTTGGGTTGTTTTCTTTGGAGCAGAGAAGCTTGCGGGAGGAGGTCCTGATAGAGGTGTATAAGGTTACGAGGGGTATGGGCAGAGTGGATAGGAAGCAGCTATTCCCTTTAGTTGAAGAGTCAGTAGCAAGGGGGCATAATTTTAATGTAAAAGCAGGAGGTTTACAAGGATTTGAGGATAAACATTTTCACCCAGAGGGTGGTAGGGGTCTGGAATCCATGGCCTGGGAATGTGGTAGAAGCGATAGACCTCACAACATTTAAAAAGTACTGGGATGACCACTCAAAGTGTCACAACATACAAGGCTGTGGGCCTAGTATGGGAAAGTGAGACTAGTGTAGGCATTACTGTACTTTTGGCACTATGGACCTAATGTATAATTCTATGCACCACAAGAGCCCCCAGATAACTGTGTGCTTCCAAAGTACTCCTGCTGGATGGCACTTGGCAGCTAGTCATGTAGTTTGAATCTGAAACATATCAGATTCATTTCTTAAAGCAACATCATTCTTAAAGCAGTAAGGTTGCAGATGTGACTTCAGTCCCACACAATATGGGTTTGCTCTAAAGTGACCATGGAAGCCTCTTAGTTTAGGGGTAGGCAATAAATAGCTTGCTGGAAAACATGCCACAATTTATTTTTTAAACAAAGATGTTGACAGGCACTGGCCTTCCATTTTCAAGCCTCCAGAATCAGTCCAGTACCTCAGGGAAATGGATATCCTCACGCACAGTCCTGAGCTGCACAATTTCAAGGACATCACAGAAGAGTACTGGACTGTACTCTTTAACACAGGGGCATCCCCTCCCATACGAAGCCATAACAGTACCCCTCCTTACCACTAGTATCTGCCACCCAATGAGTAAGCTGAAACCAGCCAACTCATCTCAAATCTTCCAGCCTGTGTGGGCTTTGTGTGAAGTCTTTTCCTGGAGAACCTCAAACAATTTTATCTTCACCCCTTTCTGCGGGCATCAATAAGATATCTTTTGTATGACATTTTTGATTAATTAGTTTTCATTTTTCTCCACCCCACCTGACCCTCTGGCATTCAGCACCTTGCATCCATCCTGCAAGAGACTGCTTGAGTTAACAGTGAAAATAAGCTTTTATTCGCACCTAAAATAGTTTCCTAAACAATGTGTTTGGTGATGCTGTCACACACCTCAGGAGCAGGTGGGTCTTGAACCCAGATCTCCTGTCTTAAGTCAGAAATTACACCACAGCAGGTTATAGTCTAATAGGTTTATTTGAAATCACAAGCTTTCGGAGTGCTACTCCTTCATTAAGTGAAGTCACCTGCCCTGATGAAAGATCAGCGCTCCAAAAGCTTGTGATTTCAAATAAACCTGTTGGACTACAATCTGGTGTCATGTGACTTTTGCCTTTGTCCACCCCAGTCCAATACCAGCACCTCCACATCCTGTATTAAGCACCACAAAAGCCCTTACTTCTTTTGTACCTAAGCTGTATTGCATCTTATTTGGAGTACCTGATACGTGAAGGGTTAATTTCCTCTATATTTAATCGAGGAGGACTAGATGGAAATTGGTTGCCAAAAGCAGAAAGCGTTCCACCAGAAAGACTGCCGTCCCTTATGTAGATGGACAGCAAATTCCACTGGGTCACTGGGAATTTAAATCCAGCTCTTACTGAATTTAATTCATTCTGTAATTGTCTCAAACTCACCATGGGCCGACTTTAGCCTGTTGGTCACTGATGATGTTCTGAAGTGCAAGGACGTAAGGGTTTTGGAACATGACCAATGTGTTGCCCAGCGCGCATACGAGAGCAGGGACTGTGCTGTTGAATAAAAATTTTCCCGAGCAAGGCCACGCTCAGACAAAAAGGATGACAAACATCCACATTTTTTCCCTCCCAGAGTTACCAAAACAGGAAACCTTTCTAAACTGTACACCACGTACGCTGAGATCTTGTTATTCTGATCATTTCTGCCCAAGGCCGGACATCATGCTCAATGCTGCCAAGTTCCAGTATGACTCACTGCAATGTCATGCAGCAACGGAGTCCTTTGTACTTTATATAATAACAAAAATCTTGACACATCTGCTCCAGGGGCAAGTTTATTTTACACTGGGAAAATGTTAAGACATAATTCTGAGCTTCTACATTATGAAACTGTTAAGCTGCATCAGTTTACAAGGAAGTCACATTAATGTTGACTCCCTCACTGGATAATTTATCAGCAAGGGATTTTAAAATTGTAGAGTTAATCATGAGAGTTCAATATAATCACCAGAACTGTACATTGTAGGTCTTCACAGTTGGGACTTCTCAATATTCCATCTGGAACGGTGACCTGTTTAGATCACCAACCACAGGAAGTGCTGGGTGGTAGTGCAAAAGAATCTGCAACTTCCTAAACCCTACACAGGTATAAGATGGCAATACCTAGTGGCACATCCTTCTTCACAAAAGCACAGCTGAGTAAGCTGACCTCAGGACAACCAGCTATAGACATTGAATGAGTAATAAACATTGCCAGGGCACCAAAGGATCTCCATGTCTCTTCTTTGCTGTGGTGTATTGACATCCCTTACATCAACCCAAGAGGTTAGCTGGAAACTCAGCTTGAGTTTTTCTTGAAATATTGCTCCCCTGAGAGAGCAGCACTCCTGCAGTACTGTGCTGGAGAACTTGCCTAGATTTTGGGGCTCATGTTTTGGGAGCGGGACTTGCATCCTTTAGTTTTTGACTCAGAAGCAAGAGTGGGACCAATTCAGCCAAGCTTATTGCAAAAGAAGGGTAACGAAACACTGTGATGAAACTGTTATAATTCATAAATTTGGATTGCAGAATTGACAGAATGACGCACAGCTTTAAGTTTGATTTATATTTCTACGATGTTTTTAGTTTCTCTTCAGATTTATTCTGTTAGTGATAATTGGAGGTGTCTGAAGTTTAATACATGCATTTTCGATTGGGTTACAGCTTTGGAATAGAGCTTGAAGTGAACAGATCAGTGCATTAGGGAATAAGGGTAGCTAACAAACACTGCAGGTGCCCAGTGACTGGAGTTCAGTATCGCAGAAAGACAAAACAATGCAAGAGATCAGACATTATGTTTATGTTGAGTTAGAGCAAAAATGTGCTACCAGTTTAGCACTCTCCAAAACATCCAAGCTCATGAAAAGATACTCAAGTTGCTTAGAAGAAAACTCCAGAACTAGAATGGGTGGCACGGTAGCTCAGTGATTAACACTGCTGCCACCCAGTGCCAGGGACCCGGGTTCAATTCCACCCTCAGGCGACTGTTTGTGTGTAGAGTTTGCACGTTCTCCCCATGTCTGCATGGGATTCCTCTAGGCGCTCCGGTTTCCTCCCATAGTCCAAAGATGCACAGGTCAGGTGGATTGGCCACGCTAAATTGCCCTGTAGTGTCTAGGGATGTGCAGGCTAGGTGGGTTAGCCATGGTAAATGTGGGTTTACAGGGATAGGGTGTGGGGGTGAGTAGTGAGTCTGAGAGAGATACTCTTCAGAGGGTCAGTGTGGACTCAACAGCTGAATAGCCTGTTTCCACACCGAAGGGATTCTATGTAGAAAACTGCCATAAGATCATAAAACATAGGAGCAGATGGAGGCCATTTGGCCCATTGAGTCTGCATTGCCATTCAATGAGATTGTGGCTGACCTGATAATCCCCTACTCCACTTTCCCGCCTTTCTTGCAAAGCCTTGATTCACTTAATTACATTTCAGTCTTTCTAAGCCTTGAATATACTTAACGACCCAGCCTCCACGGCCCTATGTGGTAAAAAGAATTCCATAGATCCACTATCTTCTGAGAGAAACAGATCTTTCTCATCTCTGTCCTAATTAGG